CAAACAACCAAAACAAAAATAGACAAATGGAACTTGACTTTATTATACTAAAAAGCTTCTGTACAGCAAAAGAAATAATGAACAGAGTGAACAGATAGCCAGCAGAATGGGCGAAAATATTTGCAAACTATGCATCCAATGTGGGACTAATATCTAGAATTTACAAGGAACTCAAAGAACTCCAGCAACAACAGCAACAAAATAGCCCCATTTAAAAGTGGGCAAAAGCCATAAATATATATTTTTTAAAAGAAAACAAATGATCAACAAGCAAATGAAACAATTCTCAACATCATTAATCATAATGTAAAGGCAAAGTGAAACCACAATGAGATATCACTTTACACCAGTGAAAAGAGCTGTTACTAAGAAGTCAAAAACAACCTTAGTGAGGTTGCAAAGAAAAGGGTTGGTGGTAATGTAAATTAGTGCAACTTCTAAGGAAAACAGTATGGAGAGTTCTCAAAGAACTAAAAATACAACTAGCATGTAACAGCAATCCCACTACTTGATAACTACTCAAAGGAAAAGAAATAATTATATAAAATAGATACCTGTTCTTGTATGTTTATCACTGTGCTGTTCACAATAGCAAAGATATGGAATCAACTTAAGTGTCCACTGAGGGATGACTGGATAAAGAAAATATTGTGTATATATATGCAATGGAATACTATTCAGCCATATAAAAGAATGAAATAATGTATTTTGCAGCAAAATGGATGGAACTGGAAGCCATTGTCTTAAGGCAAACAACTCAGAAACAGAAAGTCAAATTCTGCATGTTCTCACTTGTAAGCAGGAGCTAAATGATGTGTACACATGGACAAAAGAGTGTGGAATGATAGACATTGGAAACTCAGAAGGCTAGGGCTAGAAAGGAGGAAGGGAGATAACAGATTACTTATCAGTACAATGTACATTATTTGGGTGATGGGTACACTAAAAGTCAAGACTTCAGCACTATGCAATATATTCATATAACAAAATTACACATGTACCCCTTAAATTTATAGAAATAAACTTTTATTAAAAGGATGTTTATTATCTCATTGATTGGGAGAAAACATGTGCATATTATATACCTGATAAGGGATTTGTATCTACAATATGTACAGAGCTCTTACAAATAAGCAATAAAATAAAATATAACTCTTTTATACTTGTAAAACTGTCTATATAATGAATACCTGAAAATAGAATTCATAGAAATACAAGTTTGTAGATTTTTCATTTTGATAGGTGATACAGTTTGTGTATTCATCCCCACTCAAATCTCATGTTGAATAGTAATCCTCAATTCTGGAACTGGGGCCTAATGGGAGGTGTTCGGTTCATAGGGGCAGATCCTTCACAAATGGCTTGGGCCATACTAAGCCAGCTCTTGCTGTGAGTTCTCCTGAGATTTTGTTGTTTATGTGTATGTGGCACCTTCCCCCCAACTCTCCCTCTTGCTCTTGCTTTTGCTGTGTGACGTGTCTGCTCCCCTTTCACCTTGTACCATGATTGTAAGCTTCTGAGGTCACCCCAAAAGCTCAGCAGATATCACTACTATGCTTCCTGTAAAACCTGTAGAACCATGAACCAATTAAACCTTCTTTCTTTATAAATTACCCAGTCTCAGTTATTTCTTTACAGCAATGCAAGAACAACCTAATGAAGAAAAGTGCTACCAAGAGGGGGGCATTTCTATAAATATTTCTGAAAATGAGCAAGTAATTTTGGAACTCAGAAAAAGAGGTTGGAAGAGTTTGGAGGGTTCAGAAGAAGACAGAAAGATGAGAGAAAGTCTGAAACTTCTGAGAGACTAGTTAAGTGGTTGTGACCAAATTGCTGATAGTTAGTGAGGTCTCAGATGGAAATGAAAAATATATTGGGAACTGGAGCAAAGGTCATGCCTATTATGCCTTAGCAAAGAACTTGGCTGCATTCTGTTCATGCCCTGAGGATCTGTGGAAGTTTGAACTAAACAGTGATTATTTAGAGTATCTGGCAGAGGAAATGTCTAAGCAGTAAAGAGTTCAAGATGTTGCCTGGGTGCTTCTAATGAGCTACACTCATATACGGGAGCAGAAAAATGACTTAAAGTTGGAAGTTGCATTTAAAAGGGAAGCAGAGCATAAAAGTTTGGAAAGTTTGCAGCCTGGCCATGTGGCAGAAAAAGAAAAAGTTTTTTGTGGCCACCGTGGCAGAAAAAGAAAAAGCTTTTTGGGAAAGGAATTCAAACATGCTGTGGAACAATCACTTGCTAGAGAAATTTGCATAACTAAAAGAAAGCCAAGTGCTAATATCCAAGACAATCATGGAAATGACTTCAAAGGCATTTTAGGAACCTTCACAGCAGCCCCTCCCATCACAGGCCCGGAGACTTTGAAGGGAAGAATGGTTTCCTGGGCGTGGCTTAGGGCCCCTGCTGCCCTACACAGCCTTGGGACACCACTGCTTCTGAGATCCCAGGCCTTCCAGCTTCAGTTGGAGCTCAAAGGGCCCAGGTACACCTAGAGCTATCACTTTGGAAAATTCAAGCCATAAGCCTTGGCAACTTCCATGTATTATTAAGCCTGGGTGTGCAGAGTACATGAATTAAGGAGACTTGACCTTGACCTAGATTTCAGAGGATGTATGAGAAACCCTGGGTGCCCAGGCAGAAGCATGCTGAAGCCACACAGAGAACCTCTAATGGGACAATGCAGAGGGAAAATGTGGGTTTGGAGCCCCCACACAGAGTCCCCCCTAGGTACTGCCTATTGGAGCTGTAGGAAAGAATCGCAGAATGATAGATCCACTGGCAGCTTACACCTTGCACCTGGAAAAGCCTCATGCACTCAATAACCTGTGAGAGCAGCCAGAGGGGCTAAACCTTGCAAAGCCACAGGGATGGAGCGGCCCCTTGCACCAGTGTGCCCTGGATGTGGGACATAGAGTCAAAGAAAATTATTTTGGCTCTTTAAGATTAATGACTGCCATGGTAGGTTTTGAACTCATGTGGGGCCCACAGCCCCTTATTTTGACTGACTTCTCCCTTTTGGAATGGCAATGTTTACCCTATACTGCCTATACCACCATTTTATCTTAGAAGTAAAGAACTTGTTTTTGGTTTTACAGGCTCATAGATGGAAGGGACTTGCCTTATCTCAGATGAGACTTTGGACTTTTGAGTTAACATTAAAACAGGTTAAGACTTTAAAGAACTATTAGGCATGATGGTATTTTTCAACACGAGAAGAACATGAGATCTGGGAGGGGCCAGAGATGAAATTATATCATTTGTATATTTATCTCCACTCAAATTTCATGTTGAAATGCAATTCTTAATGTTGGAGATAGACCTAGTGAGAGGTATTTGGATCATGAGGATTTGGATCATGAGAGTTCACATGAGACCTGGTCATTTAAACAAATGTGTGTTGCACCTCCCTGCTAAGTCACTGTCTTTTGCTCCTGCTTTTGCCATGTGATGTGTCTTCTCCCTACTTTGCCTTCCACCCTAAATAAAAGCTTCCAGAAGCCAAGCACATGCCAGCACCATGTTTACTGTACAGCCTGCAGAAACATGAGTCAATTAAACCTCTTTTCTTTATAAATTACTCAGTCTCAGGTATTTCTTTGTAGCAAGCAAGAATGGCCTAATTCAACAGACCTAACATATAATCTTCCCAAGGTGGTGTACCAACTTGCTTTCCCAGAAAAAGCATAGAAGAGGTAGAATAAGCATTTTCAAAATATTGTCCTTCTCTGTCATTGAGGCAGAAGGGTAAGAATTTCATTAAAGAGTTGTTTAGTACGTTCTTCCCTGTGTACCTCTGCTAATGGGTACATTGTAGGTTGACAATAGATTTAACCTTGTAGGTTGACAATAGATTTAACCTTTAACTCTCATACATTGTCAGTGAATAATAAAAGGGGAAAGAAAGCTGACTGGTTCAACCTATATAAACATTGTACATTTAATCACCACAAAAACATTGAATGTAAAATAACTTTCTTATTTCCATTCTAAATGTGGAGAAAGTAAGATTTAGAAATATTATGATATAATGGAGGATACCTTCTAGTTAGTTAAGAAAAAGTTAAAGCCAAATACATATTCTTTAACTTTTTTCCAATGACAATACTTTATCCCTGGTATTGATACCCTAAGGCTATGTTTCTGACTATAGTAATAATGGCATCAATAATTACAGCTAACATTTATTGGAGTACTTAATATGTGCAAGATAAGTACTCAAATAAATTTGAAGTACATTATGTGAAGTTACACTGGGAAGTAAGTAATATTATTCTTATTTTGAGGTTGAGAAAATTGTGGAATAATGGTCAAATGATGAAATGACAAAATTATAGAAATGGAGAACAGAATAGTAATTACCAGGGGTTCAGAAGGGTTGAGAGCTAAAGGGAAGTAGATGTGGCTATTTGAAGACCACATGAGTAATTCTTGTATTATGGAAATGTTCTGCATCTTGACTGTACCAATGCCAATATTCCACTTGTAATTTTGCACTACAGTTTTACAACATGCTACCAGAAGTTGAAACTGGATAAATAAATACATGGGATTTCTCTGTATTATTTCTTTCAACTTCATGTGAATCAACAGTTATCTCAAAATGTTTAATTTAAAAATGTGAGACGAATAATGTCACACAATAGCAGAGTAGAAAATTTTATGATGCAATGGAGAAATTGATTCCTCCCCCAAATAAATCACTGAGCTGAAAAGAGTGATTTGGATCAATTTCACTGGAGTTCTGGAACCTGATCTAACACTTATAGCAGCCAGAGCAGTGCTCAATGGAAGGAAAGGCTGCTGATCACATGTAAGTCACCAGCGTGCTCATGCTAGAACCCACTATCATCTACCATTTCTTAGCCCCTTCAAGGTTGTGGGGTTAGCATCCCATATTTTGGAGTTGCTGTCTGGTGCCAGGACAGGCAGTGGAGACCTTCTCCTCTAAACATTTGGAGTTGTGTGTTTAGGTTGGTGTGGCACCACTTACCTGAGGAACCTGCCCAAATGCTTGCCTTTGTTTTGGTCCTCTCAGCTGAAGCAGAATTCCTGAGAAGTATCTGTCAGATTTAAGGAGACAGCATCTTTTTAATGTTCTTTCTCATTTTGGAGTTAGACATCTAAAGAACTGCTTGTCAGGCTGATCACAAATATAATAGAACAGAAACTTTAGTGGCCAAACACACTAAGGAATGCACGCTTTGCAAAAATTGTTTAGAAGAGTTACATAACTGAATTTAAAGTTAAAACTACAATATTTTTACAAGAAAGCATAAGGAAAAATCGCCATGACCTTAGATTTGGTGATGGTCTCTAAGTATGGTAATAAAACTACAAGTAATTTAAAAATGAATAAATTAGATTTCATCAAAATTTTTAAAAATTAGCATTGACACTTGGTAATGATAGAACACTATCAAGAAAACCAACAGAATGACAGAAAAAACATATATCTAAAAAGAAATTCATATCCAGAATATGTACAGAATTCCTACAACTCAATAACAAAAGAAATGACTCAATTAAAAAGTGAGCAAAAGACTTGAATAGACAGTTTTTCCAAAGAAGATATACAAATGATCAATAATCACATGAAAAAAAAGTGTTCAACATCATTAGTCATTGCAAAAATGCAAATCAAAGCCACAGTGAGATACCACCACTTCACACTCGCTAGCATGACTAGTATCAAACAAATAGAAAATTACAGGTGTTGGCAAGGATGTGGAGAAAATGTTATCTTTGTGAACTACCGGTGAGAACATAAAATGATGCAGACTCTGGAAAATTTTGGCAATCTTCGAAATGTTCAACATAGAATAACTATTTGACCCAGCAATTCAACCTCTACGTATATACCCAAAGTAATTGAGCAGACACTCAGGTAGTTCTATACCAGTGTTCATAGCAGTGTTATTCACAGTAGGCAAAAGGTAGAAACAACTCAAGGGTTCATCAACAAATGAAGAGATAAATTTTATATATACATATATTTACCATATTTTATATCTATTTACAATAGGATGTTATTCAGCCATAAGTAGAAATAAAAGTCTAATACATAATACAACATGATGAACCTTGAAAATATGCCAAGTAAAGTAAGTCAAATACAAAAGAACAAATATTGTATGATTCTACTTTTGTGGGGTATCTAAGATAGGCAAATTCATATAGGCAGAAAGTAGAATCGAGATTACCAGGAGCTGGGGATGGGAAGAATCAAAAGTTATTGCTTAATGGCATAGAGTTTCTGTTTGGAATAATGAAAAGAATTGGAAATAGTTGTGAGCATTGCACAATATTGAATGCCACTGAATTACACAGCTAAAATAGTTAAAATGGTAAATTTTCATTACGTATATTTTACCACAATAAAAGAAGTCCTATTCCCATTAAAAAATGAGAGTGAAACAAAATATAAACCATATAAATAAATGATTATTACAAAACGTTGTTTATGGCCCAGCTGACTGTTTCTTCTCTATCTGGCTGGGCTTGTTCATTCACCTGCAGTCAGCAGAAGTTAGCTGGGCAGCCCTGCTCCCCGGTGTTTGTCAGCTGTCACGTGGGGCAATCAGGAATCTGGGCCCCATGTCTCTCATCTAATCCCATGTAACCATCACTAAAAGTGTAGCTCACATTTGCTTAGGTAGTGGCTTGTCAGGATTCCAAGGCAGGAAGTAGAAGTCTGCAAGGCTTCTGGGTGTGTAGGCTCAGATCTGATGCAGTCACTACCACCACATTCTGTTAATCAAAGACGAGTGGGGAAATAGTTTGCATCTTTTGATAAGAGAAGCTTCAAAGTCACATTGAAAAACGGTGGGGAATGTGAATAAAGGTAGAGATTACTGGACGTTTCTTGCAGTCTATTAGGTTGTAAAAGCCCTACAATAAGGGACTGAATAAATGAATAATGCAAATATTGAAATAATAAACAGTAATTGTAATTTTAAAGAAAATTTAATAAAATGAGAAAACAGGAATTTAATAATTAATACTAAATATATTAAAATAAATATATTAAAATATATAAATATTAAATAATGTGGAAAATATTAAACTCTATACACATATATATGTTGATGAATACATACACATTTATTTTCTATATTTGCTGAATGATAAACTTATTCCTCTTGAAACTTAGGGAAAAGTCAGCTTTCTTAATAACATTTTAAAAAATGTGCTTGTGTTTCTTTTATCCATATATTCTCGAACTTACTTGAACTTTGGAGGCAAGTTTATAAAGATCAAAAATTTTAATATGGCCTTTGTGTTATCTCTTATATGACTGACAATAAATATTAGTAATCCAGGATTAATTTAGATCCTACTATACTGGAACTGTTGAAAAGACAGTAACAATTATTTTTGGCATTCTACAATCCATCTTTATCTCAACCTTTATCTTTTAATCTAGATATCCTCTGCTGGAAGCAAAAAGCTTAAATAACTAGGGCAACAAATCAGGACCAATGTACTCTCTTGAATTTAATGGATAGCAAGAGAAGAAAAGCATTACATTCTACCTGAAGTTTATTTTTTATTGTTTACTCTTAGAGTTCACTTCCCAAATCATGCTTTATTTCATCCCTTCCATACATATTCACTGAGTTTTCACACTCCCTGTTTTTGAAGAGTTGAAAATTCAGTGGAAAGACATCTAAGTGAACAAACATAACATTTTTTGTTGTATCTGTTCATCTGCTATAATAGAAGGCAGTAGATAGTACCATATGAAACCCTCTGACTCTAACATATTTTTCATTTTGTGGAGGAGGGAGGTGTTGGAGGTAGTTTAAGAAGGTTGATTTTTAAGAATACAGATTTGAATTTATTCTTTTGCCAAATATTTATAGTCCACCTATTTTGTGCTAGCTAAGTGTGCCTAAACTGTATTAGATACTTCAAGTAGAGCAGTGGAAAAAAATTCCTCTTATTCTAGGCACATCCTACGTGAGAAAAAAAACCCGTAATGAAATAAATACATACCACTGAAAGGAGTAATAAGTGCTATGGAGAAAATAAGTGAGAGAAGAGCTGAGAGAAGACCTGGAAAGTGTGACAGGCAGAGAACAGTACCTGGGGTGATTCTGGGACATCCTTCTGCCCATCTTACTTCTACCTCCAATGCTTTGAAGATGCAAGTTCACCCTTCAGGAATCTCTCATCAGGTGACTGGACTGGAGCACTCATATTACTCTCCTTCTCTTGGAATCAAAGTTGCTTAAGACAACATGATCTTTCTCACACGTGCTTGCCAACTCACCGTAAGCCCAGGGTTGCTTAAAAATCTACGTAGACCAAGTAGATCACACCAATGAATGAGTTGAGTCAAGTATAAGATCTCAGAGGGGTTGTGAGGCCTAAAGTGTAATGGATAGTGTCTGTTTCCGTTAAACAAATTCAAATAAAATTTTTCAGAAATCAGTTATTTTGGGGACAGCAGGTTTTTATTCCTTCTGTAAGAAGACCCTCACTCTAGGTGACTTAATGAGGCCCGTGTCAAATTGCCAAGGGCAAGTGATATTTTAAATCAGCAAATACAGATTATGTTTGCTGGGGTCAGTTGACTCATTCTTTTGTTAATGCACTTGAGAATTTAAGAGATTAGTAGTGTCTGGATACTAAGAAATAATCTCCATTCAAATAACTCTGCAGTAAACATTTGCTTTTGTTTCCTCACTTTTCTCTTGATTTTTCTTTGGGGGAAACAATTTTTCACCATTTTGGCAGCCTGAATGGGGCCACCCATCAAGTTTACTCCCATCCCCAAATCCTAACTCCCACCCAACAAACACTGTTCCCAGGCAAGGAGTGGCCATAGATATGATCCAAGTCTAAGCTGATGCTAGCGCTCTTGATCTTAAGGCATTTTCCCTTTCTTTTTTCACTGTGGTAAAATATGTATAACATATTTATCATGTTAACTATTTATAAATGTTTGATTTAGTGGTATTAAATACATTTACAGTGTTGGGTAACCATTGCTACTATCTATAATCAAAACATGTTTATCATCCCTAACATAAACCCTTTATTCATTAAACAATAACTCTCCATTCCTCACTGTCTCCAGATGCTGGTAACCTCTATTCTACTTTCTGTCTCTATGAAATTTGTCTACTCTAGGTACCTTATATAAGTGGAATCATACAATATTCATCCTTTTGCGTCTAGCTTATTTCACTTAGCACAATGTCTTCAGGGTTCATGAATGTTGTAACCTATATAAAAATGTTATTTCTTCTTATGGCTGAATAATATTCCATAGTGTGTATATAGCACATTTCATTTATCTATTTATTTGTTGATGAACACTTGGGTAGTTTCTACCTTTTGGCTATTGTGAATCATGATGCTATGAATCCTGGTGGAAAAAGCTGTTGGAATTCTGATAGAAATTGTGTCAAATCTGCAGGTTGCTTTGAATAATATTCACATCTTAACAAGGTTAAGTCTTCCTATCCATGAATGTGGGGTGTCTTTCCATTTCTTAAGATCTTCCTTAATTTCTTTCAACAATATTTTACAGTTTTCAGTGTACAAGATTTTTCACTTCCCTCTTTAGATTTATTCATAAATAAATCTAAATTTAAATAATCTTTAAAATTTTAAAGATTCTATTGTAAGTAAAATTAAAAATTACTTTTTAAATTTTCTTTTTGGATTGTTCATTCGTGATATACAGAAACACAATTATTTTGTATGTGGGTCCTGTGCCCTGCAACTTTGCTTACTTCTTTATTAGCTCTAGTAGCATTCTTGTGGATTATATATATGTGTGTGTATATAACACATGTATATACATGTATACACACATACACATATATATAATTTTATCTGTGAATAGAGATAGTTTTACTTTTTTCTTTCCAACTTGAATGCCTTTTTCTCTAAAACTTTTGAATTTTAATCTAGGAAACTGAAATTAACTAGAACTGAATTATCCCGGCAGCAATGTCCTCAAAAGATAGCCTATACTGCCTAAGTTCAGAAGAGTGACTGCAGGTCATGTGCTTCCAAAGGCTAGATTTTGTACTATTTTCTCTTTGATTCTGTTATCACTTTTTAGCAGAATTTGTTTCTGGTGCTCCTAACTCAGGAACTCTAGATGATCTACTATTCCATCCATTTTCTTTTGAGCAAACAGAACGTTTTTAAAAACTAACATAAAGGAAGATAAAATAGGGTCTAAAATTGGACTTCATGATATTAGATCCAGTTCTCTTTATTAGTACTTCTTAGTTTCAGACTACATAAGAATTCCCCTGTTAAATGGTTTAAAATGCAAATTACTAAAAGTAATCACTAGAGATTTTAGTTACTACTTTTTAACAAACAGCCTAGATGATTTTGATGTGTATGAACCACATACTACACTTTGAAAACCACCGTATGTTTTGCAGGACTGGCCTCTATAATGTATTTGCCAAACAATGATCTAGTTAACGATTGAATACCTCTAGGGTTTTGCTAAACTCTCTATACCACAACGTGAATTCATGTCATTTGGGAACAACTCTTTTTAAAAAAGTAAAATAATAATAAAAAGGCTTTTGTATTTTGGCTAGCAATATACTCGGTATGAAACTGAATCACTGAGTCATAGAATTTTATGTTTGTAGAATTATAGAGATTTTTTTTCATTCTCCTTCCCTTAAAAGAAACAATTTCAAAGAATCAAATGAGCCAAACAAGACATAGGTCTTCACATAAATGCTTTCTTCTGAAATACATATTTCTTTTTGTTCTAAATAATTTAATTTCACATAAGCATTTGTACGTGTACTTGTAATGATCTCATCTCCATGGTAAAAAAGTGGTATCCTGGGTGTTGCTGGGTAGAACCCCAGATCCCAAAATAGCAATCCCCTTTTTTCTAACAGAGATCTATTTTCTTTCAGTCTTGACAACTTTTCTGTCTTGAAGAGTGAAATGATGCAGACCCCTCGATGAGGTGCTAAGCTTTACCAGCTAATGACTCGGATACCAGTGACACCAGAAGCAGGGTGCTGAGAGAGAAAATGAACGTGCTGTTGCTGTGAGAACTGTGTCAGATTGTTTTACATTTCTTAATTCCCCTTGATTCCTGGTTTTCATTCCTCCATCTGTTTCTCCATAGTGATTGGTATTTAAACTCTAAAAAGAACATGTGCTGCTGGAATAAGATGTTTTATTTAAATAAAAGGATAGATATCTGATAATGTGCATGTGAGATCTTCCAAGGTTATTAGCATTTTTCATATTAATCAGAACCTTACACTCATAGGATAAAATCATCATACCATGGTAGAATTGTTGGTATCAGCTAGATTTAAAATGGGCTTCTGGTCGGGGGAGTGGGGGTAAACCAGAGCTTTTCTGTTTGTAAAGTGCCTCAAGTTCACTTATTTGGCTGTGTGAAATAATAATCTTACAAGACAAAACAGTTTAGCGGAATGAACACAGGTTAAAGTCCAGCACACTTAACTTCAAACACTAGTTGCATAGTCTGGGTATAAAACCTGACTCCATAGACTCTATTTCTCTATTTAATTCAATTGTATTTGATTCAACATATAGTTATTGAGCACATGCACTTGAAACTGCAGAACCCTAGAGATACGATGGTGTTTGAGAGATTCCTTGCCTACCTTTACTTAGCTTAAAGTGGAGCAGGAGAATGAACAGCAACCAAAATAACACACAAAGGTCAGTTATGATATATACACATATTACACATTAGGGGAAGAATTTTGAGAATATACTACAGATTAAATAAGTAACAATGGTTACTTTTTCTTCTTTTCTTTTGAAAGAGCATGTTGAGCATGATTAGTGACATGGCAATTCAATAACATTTTCTTTCAAGTTCTGACACATTTGTTCTGAGAAAGTATAGTTCTGGAAGCCTGCAGGTACACACACGCATGTGTGTGTATTTTCTTGAGTCACTATCTTCCTCATCTTTTAACTGCACAGTTGAATTAACAAATTATTCATCTGGAAATGGATTCTTATTTTGAAACATAAAATTGCCTTCATGACTAGAAAATAAAATAAAATGAAAAAATGAACATGTGTATAGATTTGTAGTTAAATAGGAGGTGGAAGCTGGAAGTCTCCAGGTCTACCCACCTAGTTTCACTGACAGATAATCTCTATCAGAGAAGGCGCCTGCCTTCCCAAGGTCAAGGAAAAGTAAGATGCTCAGCCATGTAGAGAACTCTGATCTTTCCATTCCCAGTCCAGGGTCAATAATGTCAGTCAATGCCATGTTTTCAGAAATGCCATCTAAACCCAGAGTGAACCTCTTGAATGGGAAGCATGATTTTATCTGCAAATGCAAAACAGAGGAATGGCTTATCTTCAGCCTAATTGCCAGATGAGGTTGACTGACTCTGAACAGGCTGTTTGTCTGATAAGACTGTCAGTGCTCTAGAAAGAGCACAGATCGAGGTGTTGTCCAAGTAGTGGTAAATGCAGATCTTTGAAAACAAAACTTGACTAAACAGAAGAACCCCAACCTCTCTTTATAGTGTTAACTAGGATAAAATGCTAGCCAAAAGCAGACTGAAGCTGAAGAAGCAGTATTTTAGCGCTTCCTCCCTATTTACCTGAGAACTTTCAGTGCTCAATTTTCCAAACCAACCAGCTCCCTTCATAGCCTCACATCTACTTGAGGTTTATATCTGGCAGAATGAAGTCCCAGAGTCCCCAGCTGTCAAAGTAGATAAGTCTTGCTAAAGAACTGAACGTCAAGATAAGGGCGTCAGAAATAAAATAATTGTCTGCAATTGGTTTACACATAGTCAACGCCTTTCTGTTTTACACAGTTACTAACTGGCAAGATCAATAAAGATAAATTTGAGTAAATCTAGAGATTTTTGAGTGGTATTAAATATGCACAAGTAGCATTTGGAGGCACTCAGGAAACAACAATAACACATTTAAAAAACCTGAGGAAAATAAAAAAAGACCAAATGTAAAATAGCACAGTGATTTGGAGCTCAAACTTTTAAAACAAGCAATTGTAAGGAGAGTAGAGAATGCTTTTGCTGGCTCTGTTTTACTCACCCACAAAGCCCCATGCCCTTAGCAGAGACTATGAGGTGCCCTCTCACCAACCCTTGTCCATCACCACTCCATTGTGCATGTTGAATACTTCCTCATTGATATGCGTTATGATGATCAACACCAAGTCTCCCTTTTCTCTCCACACTTTATATGATGAGAATTTACAATCACATACAGAGTTAAAGGAGTAGTGCATTAGTCACCTTTATCCACAGTTTCACTTTCCAAGATTTCAGTTACCCTCAGTCAACCTCAGTCTGAAAATAAACAGTTTCTAAGTATTAAATTGTAAGCTATTTTGAGTACTGTGATGAAATCCATCCTGCCTAGGTCATGAATCATTTCTTTGTCCAGTGTATCTACTCTACATACACTATCCACCCATTAGTCATCTACATGGTCTGCTCCTGAAATCCCACCATCAACATTATCATGGGTCAGTGATCCAGGATCACCTGAAGCAAATAATCCTCCTTCTGACATATCTTCAGAAGGTCAGTGGTAGCCTAATGCCTCACTCCAATGCCTATGTCATTTATCCCACTTCATCTCATCATTAGGCATTTTATCATCTCACATCATCACAAGAAGGGTGAGTACAGTACAATTAGAAATTTTGAGAGAGACCACATTCACATGTTTTACCACAGTATACTCTTATGTTCATTCTCTTTCATTATTAGCTATTGTTGTTAATGTCTTAACTGTTCCTAATTTATAATTAAACTATCATAGGTATGTATGCTTAGAAAAAAACATAGTATATAGAGGATTTGATACTAGCCATAGTTTCAGGCATCTATGGGGGGGGGGGGTCTTAGAATGTATTTCCCATGGATAAGGGGGATTTATTGTACAGGGATTGGTAAACTATGCCTGAGAGCCAAATCCAGCCATGTGCATTCTTAAGTGCATCGTCAATGTCTGCTTAGCACTGTAAGGGCAGTGTGGAGTAGCTATGCAGAGACCTGCTGGTACACAAAGCATAAGAAGTTTGTTATTTACTATATTTTTTAGTGTAAAGTACTATATATATGTAAAGTGGCTTCTACAGAAAAAGTTTGCCAACTCTCGGACTTGCACAAAGAACACTTGTATACCTTCTGAGAATTGTCAAAAGTTGTTGACATTTCATCATAGTTGTTTTATCTCTCTATATTTATAAATATAAAGGGTTTATAGTCATATGTTTCTGATCCATATGAAAGTAAGTTGCTGATATCCTGACCTTTTCCTTCTGAACACTTTGGATACCTCTGCTAAGAATAAAGACATTCTTCTATAAAGTCACAATGCCTTTTGCACATAAATAAATTAATAACTATTCATAATAGCCCACAGTCATAATTTCTCAATTATCCTTAGACTCTTTCTATATTTGTTTGAAATTTAAAATCAATATCCACTCAAAGTTTTATGCATTATCTTTCATCATTATGTTTCTTCGAATTATTCTCTCTAAAACAGATCTGTCATCTTATATTTCTTCTTTTCTTCCCCAGTTAATATTGACTTCTGGCAGAGTCTAGGCCAATGGTTTTGTAGAAAACTCTACATCTATATTAATTTATATTTACTGAAATCTTCATGGTGTGATTAGCCATTTTTCCCATCTTCTATTTTTTCTGGAAACTGAGCATTGGTTCTAAAGGCTTGCTTAGATCCAAGTTAAACATTTTTGGCAATGTCATTTTACAACATAAAAGGAGAAAAACAAAATCAAGTTTTCTAACTATTGACAAGGCAAAGTTTGATCATTTGGTTAAGACGATGGTCAACATGATGTTGGTATGGAAAGGTATATGTTTCCTTTTGCTATTATCTACAAGATTTCCTGGGGTGGCAAAGGAGGTAGGGATCTTTTGGCATCATGGAATATCTGTTTTCCCTAAAACTTTTTATTTAATGATTTTTTATTTCTGTGATATTGCATTCTCCCATCCCTTCTCCTATGCTTCTGTTCCATTTGACTGTTCCTTTATAGTAAACTAGTAAATAAAAATGAAGTGACTTCCTGAGTTATGTGAGCTGTTCTAGCAAATTATCAAAATCAAGGGGAGAATTGTGGGAACCCTAGATTTACAGCTAGCCAGTCAGAAGCAGGAAAGTCCCCAGGACTCACTCTTGGCATCTGAAATAAGGGCAGTCTTGAGAGACTGAGGCTTTCACCTATGGGGCTTGATGCTAACTCCAGGTAGTTGGTGTAAGAAATGTATTGAATTGTTGGACACCCAGTTGGTGTTGAGAGAGTTAGAGAATGGTTGTTGGTGTGGAAACACCCACACATTTGATTTCAAAAGTTTTGTGAGTAGAAACAGGTCATAATTCCATTGAAGATCATTGCTTAAATCAATTAAAAATGACTGTTGTTTTTCTAATTCTGTAATCTCTTCTACATGTGTAAGCTGACATTCTTCTGTATAGGACAAGGGTTTTTTTTTTTTTTTTTTACCCTTTTGTTTCTCTCTCCCTTACTCCGCCTCTCTCATATCATTATAAATTTATAAATTCTAAAAAATTAAATGTACTACAATAAATTATAACCATTCTTTTTTTGTGCTTAAATTTCCAAAAATTAGCCAGTGGGAACCCCTTCCCTCTGCTCTTGTATGCACTGGATGTAGCCCATCGGTGTTTGAGTTCTTTCTTGATTTCTGGCAAAAAAAAAAAAAAAGTCTAGTTTACCTTGTACTTTCCCACCTCAAACCTAGAATCAGTCATTCCTATAAGGATCTCTGGCTTTTTTTTTTTTTTTTTTTTTTTTGGTTTGGTGATGGTATTGAGAAATGAAGATTTAGGTAATGCAGTGTTTGCTTTTTGGGGGGTGCCATTTTTTCTAGACTTTTTCAATGTACACATGCATGTATAGATACTTACATAAAATTATTAGTTTGTATTAGGTGCCAGGACTCTTCTTATTGCAAATTAAAGGTAACTAACCCAAGAGACTGAAGGCATAATAGAAATGAGAGGTATTGACTAGCCCTGTAAGAGGAAGTATGGCTTTAAGAATAGCTATGTCCAGGACCTCAAATGATGCTTTACATCTTACTGGATTTCTCAGCTCTAACTTTTCTCTATATTAGGTTAATTCTCAGGCACTGCCACTCATATCCCCAACAAGCGATGCAAAAGTTCTAAAGCAGTAGTTA